AGAGAACCTTTTCAACTTGGAGGAGGGAGAGTGGCCACTTTTTGACTTGCACCAGTTTGGGGACTTTAAACCAGTGGAGTGAAATGGACTGCAACAGCAGTGCAAATAACACTGAAGTATGTGTGTGTCTTCAGTGAGAGACAGCGACCACCAGCATCACAGCAATGTGTTGGACTAAATTCACAGGGTGTATATTTGGCTACCAGGAGATGGACCTGAGGAGCTAACTGCAATCTCCCAAGGCTTCCCAGGCTCCCCATGGCTCTTCTTCCATAGAGGAACAGGCTTGAGAATGAGGAATCCAACCGTATGTCCTAACACCCAAAGCATTAAGGATACAAAGCCTTTTCAAAAGGTCACTATGGCTGACGGGTGCTGTCCAACTTGGCTCAGTCCCTGGCTGGGTGAGTTGCATTCACAAAGTCTTTCCTCAGCCTTTCCCACGCTGCCTGGTGTGCCAAGCTAGACTCTGTTCTTCCTCTGCCTGCCCTGCACAGACTAAAGGAAGATCCCTCAACTTATCAGTCCCTCAAGTGGCTTGTTATGGGGCAAAGGTGTCTTGTTCCAGGGGCACTTTCCTACAGGGCTTGGTGCTGGTGGTGCCCTAGCCCAGACTGGGCTGATCCTTCCTCCAGCTGTGCATCTGACTCTGGTCCTGCAGAGCAAGAACCGTGACGCTGGGACACGGTGGAAAAGGCATGTGGAGTTGTGTATACTTGGTGATGCTGTGGTATGAAGGAGGACCTTTTGGTTTTATTTATCTGCTTGGGGGTAAGAAGCCTGCTCGAGGATTAAACAGACCGGGGGGGTGGGGTGGGGTGGGCAGGGCGGGATATGTTCTTCACAGAGCACAGAGGATAGCATTAGTCAGCACGCCTTGAGCTGCAATGGATCAGAACCCTGTTTCTTCTGGGCTTGCTATGTGCTCCATCTATTCTCACAGTGAGGCCACATGCTGGATCTCAGGTGACCAAAGGATATCAGTTCCTTGCTAGAAGGACCCTTAGTGCCTGCTGCAGGGGCAGGTGGGACCGAGACTGTCTACAGGCACCATGTGGACTAGAAAAGCCAATGTTGGGAGTCGGCAGAGGACAGAGGTGGTCTGGGAATTTGTCTGGTGCATCTCATGGATTAAGTTTCTCCTCACTGGTGAGAGCTGGAGGGAGAGGCGAGCATGTGAAACCTGCTTGGGAGTGCAGGGCCTGGCTTCCCTGCACCAGTCTGACACAAAGTCCAGGTCAGTGGTTGAATTTCATGTCTTGGAGTCCTGGAATTGAATTGAAGCAACCACAATGGTGGGTGGAGGGTCTGGTTGGTGCAGCAGACTCGCCTGTGCTGGACCTGACCAGGAGCTGCCTCCTCTGCCTCTTTTCCCTCTGTCGGCTGCTTGCTCCACAGATGCTGATGGCATGGACCTGGCCATGCTGCACCCCGTGGGCCATGCATTTGCACATCCTCCATTGTGTTTTTGTTTGTTTTTATAAATACCATTTGGGAATAAAGTCTAGTGGTTCTTTCCCACATCATCCCTAGCTACCGTGTTTCATCATCCTGGGTCTGCTGAGTGGTGCTGCCAAAATGCCGTGTTTCCAAGTGCAGGCACCAAACACAACCAAATGGACAGCTTCATGCTCTATCAGCATAGCTGGTATAGTAAACCTTTAGTTAAAAGTAATTTACAGAAGAGTATTGCCTGCGAGAGAGGGGTATTCTGAGTCCATTGCCTCCCTGTGCCCTCGGTTTGCGGCAGGTTTGGCTGGTGTTTTAAATCACCCCTTCACTTTGGTTGAGTGGTCAGAAGGTAACAGCAGCAGTACAGGCATAGTGCAAAGGGTGTCAGATTCATCTTTTCCACCCCAGCAGCCCATAAGCCAAAAGAACCAAACCGCAGTGAAATGATTTCCCTTCCCCATCTGCATCTTGGTTTATGCTTATACATGGCATTAGTTACTCTTCAGATGCAACCCTCTCACAAGGACACCTCAGAAAATCAGAGAAAGGTGTTCACTATGCTAGGACCACTGCTGCATCCAAACACAAATCCTAGAACAGTGCTGCAGCTCGGTTCTCTGAGCTCCTCACATAGTCATTGGCATTAGGTAGGAAGATGACCTTTCCTTCCGAAGTCCAGTTTCTTGAAGTCAGTCATCTTTCAGATTTACAGCTGTGAAATCTCTGGGCACTTGCAGATGGCCAAAGTGCTGTGTTCCTTCCTGCAAAGAGCCTCTGTGCAGCCCTCGGAGGCTGGCAGTAATCCCATGGGTGGTTTAGACTGCTGGGTCTTCCCGTGTCTCAGACAATGCAAGCAGGTATTGCTGGAGGCACCTTGATCTGGGCAGGAGGCTGGCCTGGGTGGGACCTGAGAGGACTAGTTTGGCCCCGCTTTTGCTTTCAGATAGCTATGCATCAACAAGCCATCAGAGATGCTTCCAGCCTCTCATCATGTGTTTGGCTCCCATATACGGCAAAAAACCAGGTCCTCTCCCCACACCCCATAGCCTGGCCCATCCTCCTGCTCTGCTGACACACACCCCCCACCCCCACCCCCTTTTCATTATTTGCAGAAAGGAAAATGTCTGGAGAAGCTCCAGAGATGTTGTCATTTCTAGGCTTCAGGGTTGGCCCTTTTCAGATCAGCTAATGAGCAGAAGAGGGTTTTCAAACACAAAATGCAAACCTGATCCATGAGCTTTCAAGGACACAAAGAAAAAGCCCTGAGACGAGCAGTGGCCGGGATCAGTCACAGATTGACTGGGGCTATTCTGGGGACCCTTGGCAAGAGGACGGAAAGCAAGAGGGACTGGATGGTATCCTGACAGTTTGTGGAACATACTCCTTTAGCGCATCTCAGGTCTGTTCCTTGCCTTCCCCCCGCCACTGGTCAAGTGTGAGAGCTTATGGAGGAGTGGGAGCCCTTCTGTTGAGGGGAGATGGGAGCTCTGGGGTAGTAGTATGTACATGTATCTAGGGAACTGGATCCTAACCTTAGTGGTTGGATTCTTCCTGGCTGGAGTAGTTGCAAGCCCTCTCTGACAGCTGCAGGTATCGTGCCTGGGATGGACCATCAAGCCCAAGGACCTGCTCCTCCACATGTCTGTATCAGCACAGGGAGCACTTTTCCTGCCTTGAGGTGGCTGGGGCTTGTGCTGGACGGGATGCAGCGCCAGTCCATGGCTTACTGTGCCAGCTTAGGGGACGCAGGAGAATTCAACTCTGCAGCCAGGTCCAAACCACCTCACCTAGCACTAGTGGTGGCTTGTCATACCCGAATATTTCCTCTATGGTTTCAGGTGGTGGTCTGGAAATACCGACCAGATGGACTTGGGTAAACTGTTTGTGGTGTTCTCTTAATCCTTCTAATGTCGGTGTCCTTCACAGATGAAATTTAAATGTTGAAGGTTTCTATGTAGTAAGAGGAGAAGATAGAGGGGAGCAGAGAAAGGGGATTCAGCACTTTTGTCTAGGTTAAAGCTGAGGATGTCTGCACCAGCTCATACATCTCTGCAGAGGAGTCTGTGGTTCTGCAGCACTCTCTGTAGCAGCACCTTGGGCCTCTCTGAGAAGCTACTTGTGGACAACAGCATCAGTGGCTGATGAGGTGAGACACAGCTGGACACTGTGGGACCTTGCTCCTCCTCCTGCTGAGGGTACATCAATCTGACTGGGAGTAGGAGAAAAACAAAACACAGCTCCTGGAGATGGAGAAATGACTATGGGACTTTCAGTGTGTGCTTCTCTACTCAGACACACACTTTCTTGCATACCTGAAACGGAGAAGTGAGCAGGGACAGGACCTAGTGAATAGCGAGATGCAAAACTTCAGGTTTATTTTTTAGCACATCGTTTACCTGCTGTGGTAGCCTCTTCACTTTTCTCGCTCACAAGGTTTGGCTTCAGTGTTGTAGGGCTGGAGCTGCCCTTGCTACACTACACACAATAAGCAGTGTGACAAACCTGTGACCGTTAGGAATATAACACAAATAAATACTCTGCTTCCACTGACTCCAGTCTGTTGCTGCAGTGAGGAGTTAGAACTCAGCTCTCCTCCCCTGTGTCAGCTGTGGGGACAAGTCCAGGAGCAGGAGTCCAGGAAGAAGAGACCCTTTAACCAGTTCTGCTAGTAGTCAAATATAACACCACATAAACTTGATGAACTGCCTCCATCTGCCAGTGGATTGCCCATCTTCAAATGCTACTGGAAACAAAGTGAAATGGAAGATACTGGCACCTGCTGGCGATTTACATGGTGTCCACTTGTGCAAGGCTTGACTTGGGACTGTTGTAGTGTCTTGGTACCACACGTGTTGCTAGACAGACTGTTTTGTATCCAGCTCTTGGTTCACAGCAACTAAAGAATGAGTTCCAGAAACATGACCTGGAGGAGCGGCTGACACTGGCTCTGGGCCTGGCTGCGGCTGTGTTGTGGCGGGAAGTTCTGGGCAGCATTATTGTGGTTCCAGAAGCTGAGGTCCCCCCTGATGTCTTGGAGCAGTGTTGTGTGAGGCACAGGGGAGGCAAGGAGCGAGGTGACAGTGCTGACAGCCCTGTGCTGGAAGCTCAATCCTTTCCATGCTGGTCTACATTGTGGCTCCATCATAGCCTGCAGGGAGTGGGGGTGTGTGTGCATGTGTGTCAGGAATTCAGTGCCTTTCAGATGGCTCTTGTGTCCAACAGAAAAAGAGGCTGCAAGAACACTGGAGGCTTCATATACATGGATTAGACTGAAAATTACCAGTAATTACCATTTAGGGTAATATCTGAGAGCTTTGCTGTGATGCAGTAGCCTCACCATCACTTGGTCTTTAAATCAAGGTAACACACTTTTCAAAAAAAAGATGCTCAGGCTCAGTCAGCATCTGTGGGGCTGCTAGAGATAGCCCAGGGTGAGAGTCTGGTGCTTACAGAAGCTTAAACCTGCACCAATCTCTTCTGGTCTCTAAAAGTCTGCTCTAGGCTGAAGGCATAACCTGTAATGTCCTTCCTGGTCCAATTTGGCCTGTAACAACATTGTTTTGTGTCTTCTCTTGGCTGTTGAGTGGCAACTGTTGGTGCTCGGCAGACACCCTCTTGCCATGTTAAACTGGCCTGAATTTCATTTCCGTTCGCTTATGGGAGTAATGGTATTCTTTGCCCGTCTTCCAGTTTATGCCATCAGCATAGCTCCCGTGAACGCCCAGCCAGTACATCCCATTCAGGTTGGAGTAATGGCAGTCATTGTACCACCACGCTCCCTTGTATTCTGTGGCACAGTTAAAGGAGCTCATGTCGTTGTCCTGGTCTGTTGTTGAAAATGGCATGTCCTTGTGGTATGATAAGGAGTCTCCTGCACAGAATACATGCTCACAGTTACTGCAACAGAGAGCACAAAAGGGAACCTAATGTGTCTGTGCACCACCGTAGGGCATTGGTGGGACTTGCTGGGTGCAAGGCAGATTCTATAAATCCTGCTGTTCTCTTTGTTGCCCAGATTTCCTCCTTGGTCCTGGAGAAAAGGAGTATCCTGAGCTCTGCCAGGACTGCTAAAACACACAAGGAACTTATCTATGCCTGTGAATCAAATGGGCCAGGTTCTCCTCACAGCTACGCAGATGTCACTTCTCCTGCACCATTCAGATTCTCTGTGGACATACTGAGGTCTGGACTATCAGACAAAGTTGCAGTGTACAAAGCCACATAAACCCAGAGCACTGCTATCTCAGGTGTTGGGTTCACTCATTTCTGCATGAGGGTTATTGAATTTTGCAGAGGATTTGTTTGCTTTTTAAAGAAAAACAAAACACCAAGCATTAAGAGGATGCAGTGCTGATGCTGCAAGTATTGAACATCACCCCAGCCCTGGAAATGACAAACCTCGTGGGCAAATACTTCCTTCCAATGTAACCAAAAGCAGAACTTGGCTGGTCTGCTGTGGAGCTGTTAGGAAGGTTATGAGGGATGAGGCGCTGCTCAGGACTAGGCTCCACATTTGCTGCTAAACCATGTGGCTGGGACTGTAGGTGGTACTCTGGGTCACACTTCTGTGGGTGATGGGTGTCCCTGCCCTTCCCTACCCTCAGAGGTCACTCAGCATCTGAGGTACCATGGCCAGTTTTAAAAAATTGACCCAAAATGTAGATGGTACGAGGAGTTTGCATGATACAGCTCTGCACTATAATTGTTGAACACTTCTGAAATGCTCTAGAAAACATCCTTTCCCAGTGAGCTGCTGCTAACTTACCAGCGTTTCCACCAAGGAAGTCTCCTAGAACCAGTTTGTATTTCTGAGATTCTCCTAAAACTCTGAATGAAGCATACTTGGCAAAATAGTAGTTGTTTTCAAAGTCTCTCAGGTCAACACGGAGTTCACAGGGTCCTAGAAAAGAAGGTGGACAGTGGTGGCGCAGGGCTGATGGTGAGTATGCACCTGGATTTCAGGGTGGAGGGTTTAAGGAGCCCTGAGCTAACTTGAGAGGAGCTTCCATTACTTGAGAGATTATGATTTATTTTAAATTCATGCAGAAACTCCTGTGCCTTTGGTGGCTTTCTTGTGAAGCCCCTTTTCTTATCCCGTGTTGGATGGTCATGGGCACTGAGAGCTACACGGCCTGGAGTCCTGCACAGAGCTGTGACTTCAAGAGTGCGTGTGAACAAGATGACTGCCATTGCAACCAGTCTTAGTAAGAAGTTGTGTTGGCCTGTCTCCAGGATAGGTCAGGCAGCCAGCTTGTTCTCTTCCCTAGGTTCTAGCTTTCCTTTTTTAGAGTGCAGCTTCCTGCATGCAATGGGCTGCAAGAGCCTGCATACTGTTTAGGATTAACCGTTAGGGCCTCAGATGGATGTGAGAAGTCCAGAGTCCTTTAATGACCAAGTGTGGTACAGGGGTTGGACTCTCAGTGACCCAGCCCGGGACGGAGGCAGACCTTACCCATCGAGGTGAGGAAGTGGATGTTGTCATTCCCCAGCCAGAACTCTGTCAGCTGGTTGCCAAAGCCTCGTTTGTATGAATCCCAGTCTCGTAAGAAGTTCACTGACCCATCCCAGCGCCTCTGGAAAACCTGCAGGAAAGGAGAGCCTCAGCCCCACCAGGCCACCCCACCTGAAAGCATCCGCAGTGCCCAGGTGGCACAACCCCCCACAGCAAGCGCTCCCCCTGCATCAGGACACTCCTGTGGGTATCTGGGGACTGAACCCCAGGGGCATCCCCCACTCGCAGATCTCCTCCATCTGCCCTGGGAAATGAGGAGGAAATGATGTGCTGAATTAAGCAGGGAGTGGGTCTGTGGTCCTCACCCTGCTCCCAGAGACATCTACTGGGGCAATCCCCTGCATCCACAGGGATTCACCCAGGCTTTGTGACGTGAACCTCAGCTGTCCCCTCAGTGTGTGCTTTCCTCCCTTTTGGTTTCTGTTTTGGTGCCATCCTTTTCAGCCTTTGTAAAAATCACTGTAGGGACATAGAAACCTCCCTCTCCTCATCCTACTCACAATCCATCCTCCACCATCTGTGTCCATGTCGCAGAAGACACTGGTGGCATTGCAGCCTTGGGGGTAGATGGTGTACCAGCCGCTCAGGATCTTCCCTTTACTCAACAGCTCTTGGCAGTTCCTGGCTTCTGTGAAAACCAAGGAAAGAGATCAAGTGGAAAGAGTTATAACACGCTCACTGCATCCAGAGAGTACACCAGCCTCATTCCCTAAACCAGAGGCTTTGAGCCCTTCAACCTCCCAGCTGGCCCTGTGCACTGCAGGACTCTGGCACACACCCACTGGGAGCCAAACCCCACTGCAGTTTCTGAGTCTATGTCACAGGGGAGATGGGCACCTTCTAAGAGGTGCTCTAAGGTGCTCAGTCTCCTCTCATCTACAATGACACTTTTGGGAGTCTGGATGATGGTGCTGCTCTGAGTGGGATGACAAGCTCATTATTCAGGAATTTGTCCAGGCTCAGGAATGTATGGGGGGCACAGAGAGCCTGTGGGTAGTTGGCAGCAAAGGAGTGGTGACACGGAAAAACACCTACCTGCAATACAGAAACAGTGTTCAGATCATCCTCTGTGGATTGGACAGATGGCACTTGTGTATATCTACATATATATTACCTATAATTTTTCCTTGCCTGAGGAAACCCATGCCTGATGACAGCAGCTCAGATTCATAGATGCCAAAAGATTGACTGGAACGGCCCTTATCAGACATCCCAGCTTACAGCAGTGGCTGTGGCTTTCTTAGGGGAAAGCCCTGGGAGATGACCGGAGACAGTGATGCTGGTGGCGCGGGTGTCTGAGTGTGCTGTATTCGTTGAATGGACGCATAGCTGTGCCAGGCTGTCTTGTGGGCATGGCAGTCCTTCCTAACGGAGAGATGGTCCTGGACGTGGCCTGTTCCTTATTAGTCAAATGTTTTTACTTGCCCAGGAATCACAAAGGGCAGAGGAGTGCTTGGGGCAGCAAGGGGCCAGTTCAGTGGCATCTCAGTCTCTCAGCTGTTACAGCAGCTCTGAACTGCCCAAGCCTCTGCACGTGACTGGGGCCTTACGGCATCCAAGTAGCCAGGGCAGGTTGTAGCTTTGCTTTGGCTTTAGCTCATGGAGACAGATGGGTCAACTGAAGCTTGTTTGTTTTCTTTCTTGCTTGCTTTTTTTTTTTTTTTTTTTTTTAAATGACTAAGTTAATCTGAGAACTATCATACACATGAACTCTGCATCTACTGAACCTGCCACTGCCAGCATGGTGGTACAACTGCCTTTGAAGTAGCAGCATGTCTATAGAGGTGTTTCTAATGGTTTCATCTTGGAAAACAGGACACTGAGGCTCTCAAAACCTCAGACAGACCTCCTCCAGGACACAGAGAGGGCAGGTGACTTGAGTAGTGCTCAGAGGACATGACTTTCCTGGTCTGTGCTTGATTACAGAGTAGACACACAGAAGCTGCATGTGACTTGGAGAAGCAACTGTGTTAACAGTGACATTTCCTTACTCTGTCCTTCAGTATCACTCTGAACTTGTTTTTATTGCTGCCCTGTCCCAACTTCTGAGGTAGGGAGTTCACCACCATCTGCTGTGCAAAGCCAATGGTGGCATGAAGGACCTAGGATGAAACTCACCCCATGTTTCTGGAAATCCAGGCTCTCCTTTTGTTCCTGTTGGACAAACAACACCATCAATTGCTCTTCACCTTCCACACCCTGCCCTCCCCTCCTCCAGCACTTGTCATCATTTGCTTTTCAAGACAAATCCCGCTGCACTGGTGGAGTGCTGGGGAAGCAGCCTGGTAGATGTTAGGGGAAGTGTTTACCTCATTTGCACACACAACAGAGGTACAGAGAAATGAGGCAGGAGGAGTAACTCAGTGTATGTTCTGCCCTGGCTGCTCTCTGGCCCACCAGAGGATACCCACCAGCCCACCAAATGCCCAACTGCACAGACCCAGGAGAGTACAGAGGGACAATGGCAGGTGGGAACACAAGTCACAGACTCCTGTAATTACAGTGGTGACACTCTCAGTCCCTGGGAGCAGCTCTCCAGGTTGCCTAGCAGGCACACAGGGTGGATGCCAGGGTGGCGGGACACATTATAGATGCACAAGGAGCAGCAGCTTTGCTGTTGGGCCTGGCACAACGTATTTTCCCGACAACTGATTTGAGGCTGGCAGGTCCAAATGGCAAGACCGACACAAGATGTGTCTCTGTTGGACCTGGCCACAACGCCTGCTACTGCCAGCCCACAGAGCTGGGTACCAACATTTTGTGCCAGTGAATTCCATTGGGCTGGGACGGGAGCAGGTGGTGTGGGAAGGAGAAGAGATGCACCCGCAGGAGGCAGGGACAAAAGCCCCTGAGGGGGGAATGGTTGCTGCTGGTAGAGGGTCAGTCAGTGGTTTGGAAGCAACTGTGACAGCTGAAGCAAATGTGCTGAACTAGCCACTGGATCAGCAGTGCTTGGCCAAGCTCCAGTGAGGGAAGCCGCAGTGCAGGCTGTGCTCAGCGACAGGTGCCAGTGGCCCCTGCATGCAGGATGATGGCATCAGGAAAAAACCCTTGTTTTCCCTCTGCCCTATTGCTGGTGCCAGTAGAGAGACATGTTCCTCTGGCACTAGCAGTGATTGAGATTCCTCTGAGCCTCTGCCTTTTGCCATAGCACAGGAAGGGCAGAGGTCTGCCCAAATCTGGCTGGTCCCTCAGGCTGGAGCATGTGAAGCCCTGCAGTTTCTGTAGCAGGAGGTGCTGGGCAGCAGCAGCATCAGGTGCCTGAGCTGAGGGCAGCCCCTGTTGCTGAACAGCTGGGTTGGGAGCGGGGCTGCTAACACCCCCCAGACTGGGGCTGAGGCTATAATGGGGCACAACTGTCACCAAACAGCCCCATCCAGTACCTGGTAGGACACTTCTATTTCTCTATAGTTGCTCCCACCCTGTGTGTTGTTCCAGAATAGTACAACATGGAAGTTTAACTAAATCAGTCCACATGATAAATGCAGCGCAGCATGTTTTACCTTTCAGTCCTGGGAAGCCAGGCTCTCCAGTTGCTCCTGCAACAGACAAGAGGAAAATTCTCATCACAGATGATTCAGTGCGAGTGAATTACTGTGGCTCCCCAAGTGGCTGCTCCAGGCCCTCCACATGTCTACAGGAGAGACTGCCAAGTGATGCAAAGCCACAGTGCTCTGTCGAGTGTCCCAGCTGGTGCTGGCATCCTGGCCTGGCTGCTCTCTTGATCAGCAGCATCTTCCAGGAAGAGCAGGACACAGGGGAGAAAGAACTGTTGCTCTGTCTGCTGGAGTGTGTGGGCGAGTCACAGCTCTGTCTCAGTGACTTTTTGTGAGGGATTTCTATTTTCAGTCAGGCACCTGTGAGATTTTGGGTAACAGCTATATTTTCAGTGGGTTCATCCATTTCCTGCTGGGGTTGTAGCTGATGTCTTGGGGTGCTTTTGGCCAGGAAACACCTACATGCAAAGGGGCTGTTTTCCCAGCTAGTCAGTGCACTGGTGCTCAGTTCCTGGGTGCCACCTTATGCTGGGAACTGGTTTCTTTAGAAGAGACATTTTTCCAGTGTCTGCAGCACACAGATACTGCTGAAGACCTTAAGCACAGCCTGGATGGAGTAAAAGCTGATTTCTCAGCAGACTTCTTCCTCTCTTCAGGGGCTTATCTCTTTGCAAAGAAACCTCCATTCCCTCCTTGCTTCACCCTGTGCCAGATGTTTCCTGGTGGTTTGATCCCATTCTTCTGGTCAGGTGGGCTACAACCACATGCCTAGACCAGGCCTGGAGGCTGCTGGAAGCACTCAGTGCCATGGCTCTGCACCAGGCCTCTGAACATTTGGGCAGCTTTGTTGTGGTGGAGGCCTGTTGGGGTAGGAGTGGGGAATGGGGAGAGGTGTGATTCTAGAAGGCTGTGGCAGGTGCACCCGCCTCCGCCCCAACCTGAAAACAACCAGGGCTTGCTGAAGACCCAGTAATGACCAAGCCTTTCAGGAGTCCAGACAAAGACCCAGAGATGGGGGCTTTTGGGACGTTTGGAACTTAGTTACCTTGTCTTCTCCTGATGGTGCCAACTTAATTAAAATGACCACAGGCCAGACTTGACTTGGGTGTAAATGGGGCTCCGCTGGAGAGCCGACTGGAGTTGGTCCTCCTCAGCGCAGCGAGGCTGCAGTTGGGGACTCTCCCCTTGGGTTGGGATGCTGCCTGAGGAAACTCCCCGGGGTTGAGTGCCCTCACCCCCCATCTTGGGTGAGTGATTTCTGCTGGATATAGCCTTGAGTGAGCCCTTGCCCTTTTGGGGGAGTGATTATAGCCTCTGAGTACCATAGCCTCAAGTGAGAGATTTTCCCCCTTTCATGGGTGAACAAGTGCACATTTTGGATTGTTTTCCTAGAAGGCCTCTTTGAATAATTCAGAAATTCTTGAGACAGCTGTGTAGTAATGTATTCGAACCTTGCTTTTGTCTACCAGAGTTGGAATAAATCTCCATTTTTAGAGTAGTTTCTCTGTCTGTTTTGTGAGTGCCTCTGCCTGGCACCTGTGCTTGCGCTACGCTCAGGTCTGTAGGGGTGTTCTGAGTCACTGTTCTGTTTGTTGTGTGGGTGCCTCTATGACAGGGGCTGGTAAGGATCAGTGGGGAACTTCAAGAAGAAGAGTAGTATCTTCCTCTGTGATGTGGTCCCACTCAAGGACACTGTTTCTAGTATTCATCCCATGCAAATCCTGCTTTGCTTATGCTACTTCGGGGCTGTTTCTTGGACTACAGTTCATCTCTATAGACCCAGTCTCCCAATGCACATCCTGACCTTGGGTAGATTTATGGATTAGAGATAAATATGTTATGCTTTACCTTTTGCACCAGGTGGTCCTGCTTTCCCGGGGCGTCCCTGGGCTCCCGTTGCACCTGCAAGGAAAGACCCGGTTTGTATGTGCACATAGCAAACTGACCAGAGGGGAGATGATACAGACACCCAGGCAACGGGGCCTTGGCTTTTGCAGAAACAGGTGGGTCTGCTCGCTCTGCTAATATGACTCACTTTCTCTGTGAGTTGTCTATGAAAACCCTGAAGGATCCCCATCTCCCTTGCTTCCTGGGGTCGGGGGTGCCAGTACGGTTCCCAAAGTGCTCCCCAGTAGACATGCAGGAGCATCGGAGCCTCCCTCCCACCCAGACCATTCAATAAAGACCCAGAAAATAGACGGATGTTTTTACTGTAGAAGAAACCAATGAGTTATGGCATTTACATCCCAGGACCACTTCAGACTTGTGACAGGACTCAGGGAAAAAAAAGGCGATTCCATGGGTGTGTGTTTTCCAATCTCTAGGTGGGATGTTTTCCACTCCTATTTGACTCTCAAGCTGCTCACAGAAGCTAGTGCCAGGCCAGGCACGGCTCCAACCTCAGCTTGCTTCCCCTACTCAAAGCAACAATGCCATCTTATATCACAGTATTCATTGCTGGCTTTCGGAGGCCTCACCTTCTGCTCCTGGGAGACCTGGTTCACCTTTTGGGCCAGAGGCACCTGGGATCCCTGGGCATCCTTGGAGAACGGCGAGCCGGTCAGCATCACCCAGTCCCACTATTCTCACCTCTGAGGAAATGAAGACAATCTTCATGGCAATTATTAGGGCTCTGAAATGTCTTGGAGAGGAAACTAAACCCTCTGGAGTTGAGGAACAGTGCAAGTAAAAGCAATGAGGGTGGGAGTTTGGAGGTGTTGTGTGGATTAACAGATGGCATTGAGGATCTCACTTATTAGAGGAGTTAGACACTGAATCTCTCTGGCTTCAGGGGAGTTCAGTGGGAGAGCTGGCTGTTATATATGACATTATACACATGAGAAACATACTGTAGCTTAATAAACCAAAAACTGAGAGGTGCCCTGAGGGGATATTGACAACAGAGTAAGCGACATTGACAGATCCGTGGAGTAATGGTTCTACTAAATTTCCTGACAGCAGTTCAGTTTGAAATCAAGCCTGTAGACTTCCTGAGGAATATAGACAGAAAGATGTGTTGTGCAGCATCCCCAAGCTGCTGGGGTGCCTGGCACCCAGCAAGCACTTGCCCAATCCTTTGTATTGCTCTGCTTCCTTTAGTAACTGGGCCAAGGCACCATGAATTAAAAAACCCTTAACCAGGATGGAAAACCTCAACTGGGACAGCCTGTTCCTGGAGATCCCACTGGTGAGTCGAGGAGGCTACATCTTTGGTTGGAGCCAGAAGTTTTGTAAAGTGGCCACTGAGACTTCAGCCTCCCCCTTACCCTCCTCCCACTTGCAGCTGAATTTAAAAAAAGCATAGAAGGAGAAAAATCATATCCCTCTCCCTTGCCCAAGCACCTTGTGTTATGGGCGGAAAGTGAAACAGGCTGACTCAACAGGATGGCAGAAGGATTTGTGCCCTACTCACCTGGGCAGGTGTCCTGGGCGTCACAAATGGTCGCTGATAGGCTGAGCAGTGCCAGGAGAGTTGGGGCTGCCCTCCCCATGGCCAGCACTGCTCTCTGCTCTCTGCGCAGCTCCCCTCATCCACGTCCCAGGCACTGTGGTTAGCATTGACCCATCTACGCCTTTTATGTCTGACAAAACCCCCCAGTGTAAGCTCCACCTCTGCGCTTGCCCACTGCCTGCTCTCGGGTCTGGGAGTCTGGCTGCGTCTCATGCTGTTTCCCAGATAAGCCACTTTCCAGGAGTCTGATGAGAAGTTCTCTCCTCTGCCTCTGTCCTCCGCAAATTTTGGATGCCTTTCCCCTCCCATGTTGTATTTCTAGAGGAAATGACCCAGCAAAAACATGGGTTTAGCTAAGTGCAGGCAGCTCCCCTCATCCTGCCTGCTAGTGGCCCTTTACAAAGAACAGAGCTTACTGTGTAGATGGGGAAACTGAGGCACTGGGAGATGAAAAGCCCAAGGTCAGCTGAGACCACTGGTGGAAAGAAGCCACACAGCTTGGCTCACGCTCCAACGTACTGCCTGCCAGGCAGCCCAGTGTCGCTTTTCAACCCTTCAAACAGAGGTTTCAGTTTATACATGATCCATGACTGACATGGAGTTAAAACTCTGTGTATCCAGGCAAGGTTAGGTGGGAAGAACACGTTTGATTTTCTTTTTTCTCCCCACCTGTTTTTTTCTCCAGTCCCTGTTCATTGAAATAGTGAGCAGGATTTGTTCTGCTTTGCTATTGCTATGCCCTGTGCTCTGATCATTTGTGGCAGCATTACTAGAGGCCCAAACTGCCTCACTGAGGTTGACTCCCATGCTACCTTTAGACACAGAGCCTGTAAAGTTCATGAGTTTTAGCAGAGGACAGAATTAGTTTTTTTCTCCTTATTGCTGCATCCCAGTTCAGAGGAGACTGTGATTTCTTGGAGTCTTTCCCAGCTATCAGGATATCAGAGGCAGAAAAATCCACCTCAAGCACTCACTTCTATCATGACATCCAGCATCCCAAATTCCAATGATATATGGCAGCCTACTTTAATGTTAAGCAAATGGGAGAAGGCAGGGGACAGATAAATATTTGGTTGTCACTTAAAGTCTGTGTTCCCCAAATAGACCATACATACCACACACATACACATTCTTATACACATTCATATATGTATGCATACAAAATAATAATCCAGTAGATGTTGTGATTATTGTAATTCCTACGAATCAGTTCTGGCAGGGAAATGCATGCCTTACTTTCCTGCCCCCATCTGAAAAAAGTGCAGGGAAATCAGGGGGATTGTGATCAGACCGGTTGCATTTAAGTCTGTATTTCACTTTACATGAGAAAAAGTATCTCATCCATGGCAAGCACTGTGCATGCAACTCTTGGGGTGAAATGAGAGCAGCTTCCTTCTTCAGCCTTTCAGAAGGAAAGAGAAAAAGGATGAGCAGAAGCCTCTGAGCTGCTAGGGAGGAAGAGGTCTATACAGGGCAGCTATAGGGTGACTGGGGACTTGTACACCCCTCTTCTCTCATCAGTACAGGCTGTGCTGTCCATCTGGGATGGACTTGTGTGTGCCCCATGGGGCAGGTGGAGATGAAGAAGAGTCTGCCTCTAGCACTGAGAAGCCTTCTCCTGCCCAGTGCCTTATATCCTGAGCTTTGTGCCTGGAGGTGCCTGCAATACCTTGTTCCAACTGTCTGGAGGCAAAAGCTGCTGCCCCCAGCTGTTTCCCTTGATGAATCCTCCAAAAAGCAATGGCAAAACTGGCCTTGCAGATTACTCCTTCGTTACAGTCTCTGAAGGGCTCCAGGCTAGATCTGTCCTACCAAAGGATAGGTTTGGCCAGCTTTTCCCAGTTGCTCCATTAGCAGGGTGGCCATCTCTGGGTTGGGCTGACAATGCATGTTGTGGAGGCAGCTCATGCTGTTGTCCAGCACTGATGCATCCCCTTAGGTGTTACCAACTGCAGGCTCCATCCAGCCTGATGGACACCTGGAGATGTCAGCCCACTTCCATCCGAGGAGTCCAGCAGTGTCCTTGTGGATGCAGCTACTTCTGGGAGCAGGGGGGAAACTGCCAATGAACAAGCCTAGTCCAAAGTAGGTTAGGCCCCCGAGGGTAGATTTTGAAATTGGCTCAGTGATCAATGTGTCCTTAATTGCTTTTCCTCATCCCGGGATCCAGTGAAGATGGCAGGCAGCTGATCATTTACACCACCAGCAATTCTTTTTTCTGAGTAGATTCTCCCTTGAGCCCTGGGAAATATTCCCTGTGAGCCTTGAAAGTCCAGGATTACCCTGGGGATGAGAAAACAAGAATTTTAAGCACACTGGGTGAATGGGGAGCCGCTCTGAACACTGTAACCCATCACTTCACCTCTAGAGACATAAATGCCAAGAGTGAGGTCCTCAGAATTGAACTGATCTGAAATCCTCAAGAAATTAAGCCTAGCAAATCAGAAGGCACAACCAGATGACAGAAGAGTGTCAAAAAGTTATGTGGGAGCATCATAAGTGTGTGCAGCAGGGGATTTAGCACTGATTGATGCAAAACTGCAGGTGAAATCCTGGCTCCTGGTGTGGTCCTGGGGCTTTGATGCCACCAGCTTTGCAGGGAGGATGGGGAAAGCTGCAAAAGCTGTAAGTACCTAAGACAACAAGCAGCAAGCCCCAGTCATTGCATTCCTCTGCTCTATGCTACCCTAAGGACATTGCCACGCAACTCCTAAAGCTGCAAAAAGAGCAGACAGTTGGCACTGAGGAGCTGGGAGATCTGACTTTAAGAGATGTGAGCTTGAGATTTGGCACCATTGTGGGCGCTCAAGGGAGCTTCCATGAACTTTGGAGACTTGCCTTGCTGGAAAGGAGTGATGTCAGTCTGCAAGGGTAGGTTATCATCCAAAGCAACAAGGAAAGGTATTCTTCTGGCTTAGCCTTTTGTGGGCTGTGCTATTTATAACTCTTCACTATCTGTGAATAACAAAGTTTTCAGTTCTTTTTTTTTTTCTTTCCTTTTTTTTTTTTTTTTTTCCTTATGAACACTTGTATTTCCAACGAAGAATTTCTTCAGCCCATAACCAGCCTTAGTATCTGTGGTGGGGACATTTGCCCAAGCTAAGATAGCAGTTTTTTCAAAAGATGCCCCTTGGTTTTCCCTTTCTGCTTCTGGGGTTTGTGAACACAGGGCATCTTGGAGTGCCCCAGCCCCTCAGTGCTAAGGGCCGTGCTGCACACCTCCACTGTCCTTACTACAAAACCAGTTCCAAGGAGTTCCTGAGGCTCCAGAAAGGCACAGGTAACTGGTAGAATTTCTAAAGACAATTGTCCTCATTAGAGAGGGGAAATGGGAAGCAAAGGGAGACCCCCCTGCTCACTGTTTGGGTTTCACATGCTGTCTTGCTGAACAAGGTTTCACTCTCTGCTTTCCCATGGCAGCTTCAACGGAAACTCCTGGCTGTGAGGAGCTCAGGCTGCTGGTTTCACTGGTTTTTACTGGTGCCCACAGACCTTCCCTGCTGGGCAAAGCAAAGCCAGCTTTTCCTATAGCTGGTGCTGGCTGTAGCACGTCTGAGTCCTGGGCAGCCAGGCAGCGCAGTGATTGATGAACACAGAGCACTCACTTTGAACCGGCGTCTAGGGGCTCCATCCCCACATTTCCATACACTGGTTTTGAGGCTCAGTGTTTTCATCATTGCAAGAGCCAGTTAGGACAGGTCTCTATCAGTTATTGCACACCAGCTGGACACCCTTGCTGAACATTTGGTTTGGCATTTGCTTAATTTCCTCCAGGAGCTGGTGTTCGGGAGCCTTTGCTTAACTGTGATGTATTAAGACAGCCTAGCCAAAAAGGATTTCATTTCAGTGGTTTCTTTCCTACCAGCCTCCATGTCAGCCTCTGCTTCAGCAAGATATTTCCTGCTACATTCCGTTCTTAACTTATTTTATAATCTCTGGCAACACCTCTTCTGATCTGTGAGGCTGGCAGATGTTCATCACTGAGAGCAGGGCAGACAGGCAGAGATCTGATTTATAGGACAGGCAGAAACTGCTCTGCACCTTCCCTGCTCAGATGAATCCTGAAGAGTGGAAAGGCAATGCCGAAGCCCTTTTTCTTTGCTGTTAATTCTCCCATGTACAGAGCAGTGGAGACATAGGTGGGACCGGTCGCTGTGGCACAACCGGTTGGATGAGAAATGTGCTCAGGAAAGCTGAGGCTCTGGCTGCAGGGGCATCCGGTGAGGGTATGCACGCCAAATGAGCAAGGCTGGCAAGACCTAAACAGCAGAATAATTTTTCCAACAATTTGCCTATTGTTGGACAAGACAAATGTCACACAATTGAAAGTTATAGCTGCATGAGGTGAATTGTTTGGCTCTTGGTGAAGGTTTTGCATATACTTCTCCTATTATCCCCATTCAGGCCTCAAATGTCCCATTTTTCAGTGACCACTGCATAATAATATTTGCTTCCTTCCTCTTTAGTGGGGGATTTTCATGCTGTCCTGACTCACCTCCAGTGACTTTGCAGAGTTAAGCAGATGGAGAGCTTAGAGTAGGAAACTATTTCCCACAACAGACACCGCTATCTGCAGTGCTGTAAGTCAAGCGCAGCTGTTAGCCCAGTCCGGATTTTCTGGCTCCCTCCAGACATTGTGCAATACAAGCCATAAAAACATGCTGGACTTTTTTATATGGAGAATAAGGACTGGATTTTCAGGAGAGCTGAGGGACAGACTTCCCTGGTTTCCTGTAGGGCTGGACTCTGTTGTAGTTTCTCTATTGTAAATCTTTTCAGGCTGGTTTAATAGCATCATCTAGAGTAATTGCATTCTCAGCAGAAACCAAAACCCAAGAAACCCAAGGCTACATCAAGATACTCTTCTGCTTCAGGGAGCATCACCACGACAGCCTGCAGGACATGGGATGCAGGATGCAGGAGGACTTCCCTGGAAGAGATGCCCAGTACCCATGCTCTGCTCAGGCACTTCCCATGGCACCATGGGCTGTCACCAGCAACAGGCATTGGGGCACTGAGCAGATTGCCCTGAAACTAAAA